TTTCATTACCAGATAGTAGACTACTGAATAATAAATACAAGAAGATAGACAGGCTGAATTGTGGTTGGACAATGTTGCTTGGTGCAAGCATTTCTTATAGGAACTATAAGCAAAGACAAATTCAAGTTTATGGTAAGCTGAAACATCCCTGTGACAAGTGAGTTGTGCTGCAACAGCAGATGAAGAAAAGCTGGTACAGCTGACAGACAAAAGAGGATGAAATGGTTGGTACAGCTTGTGAAACAGTTAAAGGAGGGAGTGGAATCAGGACCTGGTATTCTGATAGAGTGACATGAAAGCATGAACAAATCAACTTTAAACCCCACTGAAAGAATGGTAATAGGGCACAATTCATGAACTGCCTATTTTGGCTTGCTGATTTGTGCAATTTTTCTGATGCTGTAAAAGAGTGGTTGAACAAACATCAAATGGTGGGATTTTCCAGCCAAAGCTGATCAGCTCACCCTTCCTGAAACTTTCCTGATGCATGCCAAAACCATCCAATTTTATGCAAAAGTAACAGTTCATGAACATATGTGTCGATATCGGTCTGATCAGCCCAAACACAGTGTTGTGAATGTTGCAGTCAGCTCAAACACAGAGTGTTGTGAATGTTGACATTGCCGATACAAATGTCAGTTTTTTCTATTTCCTGGGAGCACAACAATATTGTATTTAATGGAGCAATCACTGGGATGTCGTGACTACGAGAATTTTCAAAACCGATTCAAGAGTTTTTTTAATATGTTTACAGGGGTTAAGTTTTAAAACGCCGAATTTATTCCAGCTCCAGTTGAAACCAAAACTGAGTATCAGTCATCAATTTATCCAGTTCTTTCGCCATATCGTCGCCCATGGAAAATGTGCCACTGTCGGGGTGATATTCACCAACACAGCCGGCTTGAAGCTCATTAGGCCCGAGCTGGCAACCTCTGGCTTGTAGGGAGGTACCAATCTTGTAAACCTGGTCTGAAACAGGGCGCCCATCATCGTTGGAAAGCTGATCTAGTGATTTCACTCTTTCGTTCTCCAAGTCGTGGATTTCATGGATACTGAAGATGCACTTCTCAATAATTTCGATGTACTCGCAGCTATGTTTGAACTTGACCCCATGAAGTCTTGTGAATAGCCTTAGAAAACATCCCAGCTTCACATATCTGGGGATTATTAAGCTAACCCACAAGAGGTAGCCAGTTACCAGACCAAGACTTGCCAATTCGAAGGTCAAAAATATAAAAATAAAAGTTACCTGGTGAGCCATTAAGTATCTGGGCGAGAAGGGTGTTTTTTTGTTTTTGTTGTGGATAGTAGCTTACGCTGCTTTGTGGTATTCGATATTGAGCGGCGAGTCATTTGGATATAGCTCTGAATCATCTTCCGTCTTAGCATCGATTTCATCCTTCAAGTCAAGCACTGCTTCTAAAATATTTTCGGCATCTTGGCAGCCCTCAGTGGCACATTGGTACTGTCGTTGGTTCGACGCAATCATCCTTCCATCCTGGCAAGGCCATAAAGCAGCATGCTGGGGAGCAAGTTTCAGTCAACCTTTGTGCTGCCCAGAAGAGCCGTGGCTGATTACCCCGGAAATGGACGTACCACGATGTACAGTCGTACATATTGTTGTGCGTTTTGCAAGAATCTTCGAGGACCCATCGATTTTGTAGTAAAGAGCTGTGGGCAAACCTGCCTCCAATCGGTGGCCCAGCGATCCAGTTGATTCATCACGAGGAATAACTCCGGTAGTACGTACATCTCTTTTCGTTCCCTCAATGGCCCCGGGTGATTTCGGCTATCTAGTTTATTCTGCGAGAGTGCTAAAACCATCATTAAGTGCACATGGCTAAATATCGTCCGTCAAAAAAAAGAAATAAATAGGAACGCCTCAGCTTAGTTCATAGATGAGACAGGAAGAGTGTGAAATACGCGTTGATTAAAGCATCACAAGGCTGTCGAAATTTAGATGTCTCCAACGTTGTCGCGTGATTACAGATCATTTGGGGAGGTGACCCGATCAAGTACAGCTTCCTACCGAAGATGCACAAGCTGTTGGTGGCAAATATCAGTTTTGACCTCATGCTCACATATCCCTTTGGATCAAGAAAGACCTCAAATCCAGGCCCTGGCGGGTTTCGTGACATCGTAACAGGAAATAAAAACGCTCACAAATGACTATAAATTACTACAAGTAACCAGGTTCGACCCATTTCGACTAATTCGGCCTCATTTGCCTCGCCACGAAGGTCAGGATCAGTGAGTTTGACAAATACCTTATGCAACTTCAGATTTATGCACAGGGACACGAAGTGGGGGCAAACACAATGAAGACCTGTTTGGAGGGAGGAGATGGTCATTTTACCAAAATCTGACTCCGCCAAAAATTTGTCTTTCAAAGAATTGAAGCGGGCGTCTTACCATGATAAATGACTAGCACCATCATACCTTTTAGATCGTGAATATTGTAATTCCTGGTTAGGAAAACACGTTTGAGAAAAAGGCAACTAGAAAGAAGAAGAAAAAATGATAACCCACTTGTCTGGGAACACTGTCGAGCGACTCATGTTTAAGGCATTTTGGTAAGATGTTGATACTTCCCCCATTTCCTTCGCCTTTGGATTTGATGCACTGATTATTGCATAAAGTAAAAGTTCTGATTTCCTTTGGAGAGTCTCTGGGTTGGCTCTTTCCTATATCACACCCCACAGGGCCGCAGTTGCATAACCTATATTATCAGATCAGCATTCCGGAAAGCAAGAGACATATGCGGACTTAACTGCCGGAAACCAAGTCAACCGACTGGAATAACGCTTAAAGAATGTCTCGAAATGTTCCTTGACCACTCTGGGATCTATCTTTTCATTATCTAGACTCCTCGATTGGATAGACCCAGCGGCTCCACTTCCGGGAATTGAGACAGTAGTTAAAGACTCGGATATCCCTACAGTTTGTCGTCTTGACTCATCTATTCAACATTCAGCTAATAAGTATATCAACTTCGCACAAACGCATGAGATGTAATAGCAAGACCGATCATAATGGAAGTGGCGCACCAGAGCCGAGATTGTCAGCGTCTTGGGAGTTGGCCGATCCGGTAGAGGAGGGCTCAAGATCTCGTTTATTTTCTTTGGCGGGGTTCATGGTAGGATTGAGGATAAATGAGAGTCGATGGGCCGCATCACCCCTTCGAGGCCAATCGAGGATTTGAGCCGAGGTGGGGTTCAAACCAACGGGGGCGACGGCTTTAGGGACAGTTGGGTCGTGATCGGGAGAAAGCTTCCGCAGCGGAAAGCCTTTGACGACCACCTCAGGCAGCTTCGGCCGGTCTTTTGGAGTAATCATCGGTATCTCATGACAAAGTCTCTTCCTAGACGGCGGAACCATCGGGTGACTAACGGAGTCTACTTGATGTTGATGGTAAGTGAATAAGGACGCCTCCTTCAAACATTGTAGTTCGGGATCCAACCGGTCGAGGGATCGTTTCAGCTCGTGAGCTTGGAGACAGCTCGAGTCCACGCGCTGTTTGAGGCGCTCGCTACGCATGTCCAGCTCATCTAAACTCGACATTTGGGTCGGGCGAGATGGTTGCATGCTACAAATTTTCAACGCCGAGGCTTCACACTTCTGTGGTTCTGGCTCGTGCTGAGGTTGAGTGGGACCAGAAGTGGTAGTAGTGGTAGTGGTGATACTTGAGGGAACAAAGGGTAGTTCGTCAACAATAATATTTACATATAAAGCATGTCGCGCAAGCTAGGGAATGAAATTGTGCGTGACTAACGCAGTAAGCTTTTTTGAAGGACCTTCTTCATCTGAAAGATGTTTATCTGAACTTCTGAAATTGCGGGCAGTTTGAGGTGAGTGGTGATAGAGCTTAGTCATGGTGGGACAGGGCTTAGAGGGTCGACGAAGCAGGGTGTTACTAGTCGGATGACTAACGTAAGGCTCGATATGCGTAGGGACTTTCTCGACCGGCTCACAAGTCATCGGCTCAGCAATAGAAGTGACTTGAGGAACTTCATTGCAGCTGCTCTCTTCAGGCATAAAAAGCCCTGGCTTCATGAGGAGGTTAGAGTTTAGCACACTGGCCGAAGACTCCCCATTAGAATAAGTACCCATTCCGGGGTAGATATTAGAGTTATCCATCGATATCAATCCAGCCGGCGCGATCGTTGACAGCAGAGGTGGCTCGGCCGATATTCCGGCCATCATCATCGATCGGGACGGTATTTGGTCGACCCATGTTGGAGATGAACCAGTGAAGAACCCACTGGCTGAAGGCGCACCAGACGAAGTCCATTTGGACAAGGATGCACTGGGGAGTAATTCGAATGGCTCCTGCTCTAGCAGGCGTACATCTCGGCTGCAAGAATTCTGCTGGAAGCTGGGTCCTCCATGAGGGCCTTTCTCGAGGAATTGAGCGTCCGGCCCTTGGGGGTCTGCCGTGGGTTGCTGATCACGAGAACTAGAGCTGTCCTGTTCCGCCGGTAAAGGGCGAGTCGCGTCAGGAAGAAAGGGGTGAGGCCTCATTGCAAACCCGAATCCGATGGCAACAATCCAGACCAGGTGACGTGCAGGAAGAAGAGATACAGTAGTTCAGCTCGCCGCAAATGCTCAGTTGAAGGTTTGAATTGGAGCAGATGTCAGAATATCCGGGTATAAAAGTCGTCTGAAGAGCATCTATCCTTATCAAGCAGGGCACTTCATAGACCCACGCCAAGGCTCGGGCAGATACCTATCCCCGACGGCACTGCCTGCCGCTGCGGCATGAAGGAATGAAGAACGTCCATGAAAGGTCCTCTGCTCCACAATTTGCATATATTTCTTTGTAACATTCATTCGTACACACGCGGTGGAGGAGGTCATGGATGTGAGTTTCAAACTTAAAATTCAGTTGGACATTCAAATAGTATGAATACCTTATTGCCTATCGGTGTTAATGACGGGCCGGCCTGCGGACATGGAATATCTCATGTCTGTTACTGTTACGAGCAATCAGCATGCCACTGGCAGCCCGCTTTGGCGGTGCATACGTTGAAATTGGAACGATACAGAGAAGATTAGCATGGCCCCTATGTAATGAATCAGGCGAGATTGTGCAGGATTTTCAGGATGATGGTAGCATGGGCAGGTGCTGAGATCTTCGCACAAAGTTAAGGTCAGGTTTGTGGAAGTCGAGATGGATTTTCAGGAAAATAAATTTTGAAAATTGAATTGAGAAAGGTTACAAAATAAATCCCTTAAGGGAAACAACTTGTCCGAAGAACACAAGAGATCAAAAATAAATTTTGTTTGAGATTCTTTGCTCCGGATGTTGACACCCTACACAAGGATGACACATGTAGTCAGAAGGGATTCACTCATGGGTGAAGATTTTTTCTGCCAATTCTGAGCCGTCGTGTGGAAGAAACAATTGACCAGCTCAACACGAAGGTTAATCCGTTCCTCCGTCGACTAGCAGAATTGGAGGCGCGCCTTGGCCCTAAGAGCATCTCCAGCAGCCTGCGACCTGGCTGCTTTCTTTTAAATTTAGCGGGTCGCGCGCTTTTTTGGGGGTCCAGGTCACCCACCAAAGGTCCGATAGACCATCCAAGGTCTCATACAGGCTGGCTACAGATCCACCCCGATAGCGGCTTTGGGTGGCGCCCTCCATCCACCATTGCCGTCGCCACTCGAGGCATTTGACGTCTGCTCACCGCCAGCTCCACACACAAAAACGGCATACGCGATACACGAGCATCCCACAGCCAGCTGACCCGTAGAGCCAACTAAAAGCCTCCACCGAGCCTTCCTATCCCAAGACACATCTGGAAGCTTCCAAACGACCTGCATCCACAGCAACCGCAGACCAGCCAGCAAAAAAGGAAACAGAAAAATTTCCACCGCCGGCTATTGCCAGACTGCTGTGGAGCAGTGGGGTGAAAGCCGTGCGACAAATTTGTGAAATGTGGTCCAGGCCCGCTAAAGCAGCTCCGGTTCATCCCGGCTAGGGTTCCGATCCGTCCTTGGAACCAAAAATGGGACATTCGAAGCCCGAACGGACCGGGGATCCGATCGGATCTGATCTCTGAGACTGAGTCCTAGGGCAGGGTCCCAAAAATAGTTAGTCCAAATCTCGGCCCGCCGCGGGATCCAATTGGGTTCCTCCGGATCGGAACCGTAATCACGGCAGCAGTGGGCCGCTACGCTACATGGCCAAAACAGCGTAGCTTAGCGGCCAACTTTCCTTTCCCGCCAATGCTGTAGCTTTAGCGGCGCTACGGGGACTACAGGCCCCTATGCTACAGCACTTGCAGCGGCTATTATCTGCTACAGCGCATTGTAGCGCAGTGTAGCAAGGTACGGAAGCCCAGGGAGAAATCTATGGAGGCACTGGAGCGCCAAATTGGCCAAAAAAAACTGAAAAATGAAAAATGCGCAAAAAAAATTAAAAAATTGTTTTTTTTTTTTGAATCCAACCGCCAATCTGGCCATACT